GGACAGAGACAAAGAGAGAGCTAACGAGGGAATTGAAAACAGGTGCAGGCAGAACAGAAAAACAGAGCAAGGGAGGACACAAGAGGGCAGCAGAGGACAACAAATGGAAAACCAAGAAAAACAGGAACAAACAGACCAAGACTCTGACACAATCAACATATACCGAACCGAACCGATAACCGTGACCACAAAACCGTGAACCGAACCGTGGATTTTGTGAACCGTTCCACCCCTAATATATATATACATATATATATAAATATATATATACACACACATATATGTATGTATGTATATAGCTCTGTTCCATCTATAAAGGAGTCTCACTTTGTGTGATAAATTAAAACACATTTGTGACAAACTGGGAAAAGGCTGTCGGTGTGAATCCTGCAGTAACGTTGCAGTGCTGAAACGCAGCGTGCTGCTCAGAGGTTTCCATACGGATCCCTGTGAAGGTTGGAGCTGAGTGTTTGTGCTCCGATCTGAGGCTGAACCCTGGATGAGAGAGAACGCAGACGTTCGGAGGCGATGGAGTGAATTTCAGAGCTGCAATCATCTCGGTGTTCACAGCGACCTTGCTGCTGATGCGTCTCTGAGGTCCCCCTGCTCTGGGTAATTCATATTGATTGCTCATTGTGTGACAGCAGCCCACTCTGATCTCTGAGCTCCGATGCTCCAAACATCTTCACTGCTGCTGGGCCCACCATGCTCTGGCCTTCCTGGGTGGGCCACCACTGCCCTCTGCCCCACACCTCCCCCCTACAAAAGGCAGCTACCGCCCCCGCACCCAAAACGCCCCACTGTTCGCCAAGGACAGAGGTCTCTTTCCACGTTGCCATGGAGATGCCGCACAGGAGAAATGTAAAGGGGAGGGGGGGAGTGATGAGGAGGGGGACATGTGCAGCCAAGTGTGCTTGAGTCGGCATGTCTGAAAACAAGTCAGGGGAGAGAAGAGAGGAGGAGGAGGAGCGGCTCCTCCAGGGGGGCCCGATGGGCTGAACGGCGACCATCATTAACGAGTGAAAAACACTCCATTTAAGAGACACAAACGGACAGGAAGCACCTCTTGGCGGTGATGAATTAACCTGAAACAGCTGGACCCTACCTCTGCCTCTCTGGGACCTTACAGGTAAAGCTACCAGGAAGTGGACACTTTGAACGGTGGGGGGGGACACACCTACCTGACAGTTTGAAGAGCAGCTCGGAGGCCATTTTGACCGATATGTCCTGGGAGAAGAGGTCTTTCTGGGGGCAGGCCAACGTCTCTGGGAGGTTACTCATCAGCTCACTCTTCTCACTCGCCCCTAAAGTGCTGAAGGTCGGCAGGTGGGAGGCAGGCGGGGTGGGCTCTGCAGGGGGCGGGTCCACCTCCATGGGCTCGGCCTTTACCTTCACCTTCTGGTACTGGGCGTCTTTGCTGTTCTCTGGGGAGAAGAAAACAAGTGCTGGTGAGTATGACGATGTCTTCACAGCGCTGGTGGTCTGTAAGACCTGCAGCCGTGGTTGCTGACCCACTGGGGGCCTGGATCAACCAGGATGGGGTCTACAGATCAAACTAATTGATATAAAATCATCTCTTAAACTCTGGTTGTTGATGTTTTTTTAATGCAATCTTTAATTTTGAAGAAATGTTTAGAAACTCAGACAACAGTTTGGGTCTGGTCGAGTTCTGTGGGTCAGAAGCTGAAAGGTTTGGGAACCTCTGGTGGATGCATATATCCAGATGTTCTGCTGACCTGTCGGCTTTCTTCCTTGGTTGCTGAAAACAACGGACCGCACCGCACTGGGCTTCATTTCCGGGAAACAATGTTTTCTATTTGATACATTTTGAAAAAAATAAAAATGTTCTATTTTTACCATTTCAGAATAGAAAATAATTTCAGGAAATAATCATTTACCAAATAAAAAACCTAATTTATTCTCCAGACTGAATCAAGCTCAGTGAAACACCCCAGAGTTAAATCACCTGAAGCCAAACAGTAAATAACATCTGTGCAGATCAGATATCTGTCATTTTTTACTGAGAAGGTCAAACAAAGTCCATCAAAGTCACCTGATTTATTTATTTATAATAATCAAATCGACTAAAGCATTTATTTTAATTCATTTTAATTATGATCCAGCTGAACAGAGAAACCACATCAACCAGATAAATACGAGATATTTTTCTCTCCTGCGACCAAAGACTCTCAGCTTCCTCCTGCTCCACATGGACCTGAACTAAACACCTGCTTGTTTAAAATTCAATGTCTCTCACTGATTTTCCGCCCAGAGAGAGACAAACTAAATCTGGGGTTCCTATCCAATGATTCTACTCAAGGCTTCCTGAAATCATAACATATATTCTCAAAAAATAAAGTTTTATCCAATGTTATCCAATACTGCACTGATTGTAGCCCTTACTGTTGAGTAGAATTGTCTCAGATGATTAATAATCAACAGAATCTGTTTTTACCTCTGGTTGAATCTAAGATGGTAGTCAAAGATTGGAGATCTGGCTAAATTTCAACCAAATCAGGTAAGATGAGGTCTTTCCTGCCTCAGCGGGAGGAATTATTACACCAAACGCCACCAAGTGGTCAGAGCAAGAACTGCTGATGTCAAAATGACCAGTTGCTTTCAGATAAAAAAAAAAAAAAGCAGTCAAATGAGGAGAATATTCTTTTAATATAGACCCCGCTGAGGATAGTGAATGAGAACATATGGAAGAACCAATTCTGGTGCCTTAATTATTAAATTGTCTAACAACATCTTTAAATGTTGGCGGCAATTATGTGGCAAAGTTCAAGGTCTGTGGAAATGTATGCAACAAATCTGCAGTTAGTAGATGCTCTTCATCAGCAGGAGGAGGAGGCAACTACAGATCAGATCATTTCATGAATTCAGCTCTATTTTTCATCTACTATGACTCTGAGAAATAAAGAATATATATCTGAGGCTCTGCAAACTTTTATTGAGCCCAAACGTTTTGTTCTGATGAAATGTATAAAAATAATCCAACCAAACAAACTGTGTGCCTGATTCTTCTTGGTAAATAATTTTTTATAATATATTTTTTTTTTGTGACGCAAATAAAGCACATCACCAAGTAAAGCTCCAAATAAACCCTAAAACAGGGACAGTGTCCTCCAAGCTGACTGGAGCCGGTTAGCATGCAGCAGCATGGGGGGGGGTGCAGGGAGAGGTCACCGCGCTGCTCGGAGAAGCCGCCCAGCAGCTCATCTGGGTTCACTGGAGCAGACAGGAAGGGAGTAAAACACAGAGAAAAAAATCTGTTTATTGGACTGACCATGTTTTTTGTTTTTCTAGCTCAAAGGAACAGCGGCGCAAAAAGGTGAGGAGAAGCTGAGGTTTTAATTCTCTGGAGGTTCAAATTGTGTGTGAGCTAAAATTAGACCCGACCTCATGTGCAGACTCAGATCCTTCTGCATCATATCAAACCGCTTCAGACTCAGAGAGACTGACTGCTTATGGTGTCTCAGAATCATTTACATTCAAGCCCAGACTTTGACTAGACCACTAGACCAGGCTTTCACACAGGACCTTCAGGAAATTCTTAACCAGATGGGCTTTCATAGAAGACCCAGACTCTCTGGTCTAAAACAGACTGGACCAATCAGGAGGGAGCAGATACTTCAGCCAGAATTACCCATAATGCCACAGCTGTTTTAAAGATGCCCTTTGAGCACGATTCATCTTTAAAATTGGCTGCTTTAAAAACACATCCCCTCCTTTTCTGACTCTCCTTGTCCCGCCTTTATCGTCAGTTTCTGCTACCTCCTGGTTCCAGCTCTGTTCTGTCTGGGTTTGGAGCTCTGGAGAACTTGGCTGGTTCTTGCCGAGTCTGGGACTTAGGATACCTTCACACTGCAGGCCTTGATGCTCAATTACGATTTTTCGCGTTGCCGTTCACATTTCCAAATATATGCGACTTGTATGTGATCTCCTATGTGAACTGCAGTCATACAATGCAAGTGTCCCGCATGCGCAGAAGAGCTCTGTGTTTACGGAAGTAAACATGGATGGTAGTGCCGGAGCACATCTACTGTAGCGATCTTTCCCAACCATAAAAACACAATCTTTTCAAGATGGTTAAACATAGATACTGCTCTCCGCATCGTCGTCCGCAATGGTTGTTGTTTTTCTTGCTACTTCCTTATAGCAACATCCAGAAAGGTGACCTTTGTCGGGTATTAATGGCGTTCAGGTCGGATGAATGCGACCTGGCCGTTCAGACACAGGTCGCAGCTGAAAAGATCAGATTCGTTTTGGATTCAGGACCACATAGCCAAGTGACCTGGGTCGCATTGGAAAAAAGTCAGATCTGTGTTCAGACTGTCATGAAAAGATCAGATACAGGTCCTATATGGGCCAAAAAAAAAAATCGGATTTGGGTCACTTCAGGCTGCGGCGTGAACGTAGCCTTAGTTTCTCATTTTGAATTTTCTACAAACCCTGGCCTACTTCACACTGTCAGACTGGTTCAGAGGACTGGGT